ATCTTTGCCAGCAGATTGCATCCCCAATCATGTGCTCTTTCTTTAATTTACAACACCTTCTAATTGACTGGTTCCTTTTCTATTACCTTCAAACACACCCAAGTCCCCCCTGCTGTCACTGAAAAACCACCACTATATGCTGGTGTTCCTCTCCCTGTTCTCCCTCTCTTTTTTCTTCCTCAGCTAAGCTCTTTGAAGAAAGCGAACTCTCCTCACTGCTTCCATTTCTCCTTTCATTCTCTAGCTTTAACCTCCTGCCTCAACCAAAACTACTGTTTCCGAAATTCCCTAATTGCACTCTCTTAATCACGAGATCCAATGAGCTCTTCTTGCTGCTCCCCCTTTTGACCCTTTCCATAGCGTGTGATACTGCTGTACTTCTGGGTACTCTCTGCTCTCTGGGTTCTTCTTGGCTGGTTCTGTCTACTTGTATAACTAGTTCTTCTCCATCTCTGGTTGGGTCTTCATCGGCGTTATACCTGCTAACCGGTGGTGTCCACCAGGACTCTGTCCTGGGCCCCCTTCTCTTTTCTCTTTCTACTCTCTCACTTGGTGACCTCATCAGCAGTCTGAATTCAATGGTCATCTTTATGCACATGATTCCCAGATCTGTGGATCCCTAGCCTGTCTCCTGAGCTCTAGCATTACCATTGGCCATTTCAGACTGGATGTCTTACAGGTTAAGGCATTTCAAACTCAGCATGTTCCAAACAGAACTCATTTGTGTTCCCTCAGGCCTCTGCTCTCCAAATGCCCTATCAGTGCTGAGAGCAGCAGCCTTCTTCCAGCCACCTAGGTTCCTAATCTGGATCAGTCTTTATGCCTCACTCTTATTCATCCCAGATGTAGGATCTTGTTTCAGTCTCTGTAATGTAAGTGACTGTTTGGTTTTTGAAGCTCTTCACCAATTGTCTCCTTCCTATCTTTCCAGCCTTCTTACACATTATTGCCCACCATACACTCTGGCACAATGGCTGACTTGCTGGGCCTCACATACAATGTTTCCTTGCCTTCACACTGGCTCTTTTTTCATGCCTGGAATGCCTGGAAAGATCATTGGCTCTGTAGCTAGAGGGCACAGTTCATATCTTGCCTCTAATGCTCATTACCTTTGTGGCTTTGGGTCAGCCACTTAACCTCTGTGAGCCTCAGTTTCATCATCTGTAAAATAAGATTAGTCTGGCTACCTCTGAGATCCCTGCCAGCTCTAGATTCATGTCTTCCTCTCCTCCTGTCTCCTGTAATTCTTGGCTTCCTTCAAGACCCAGCTCAAGCATCTGTTTCTATATGAAGCCTTTCCTAATTGCCTGGATTCTAGTATTCTGCTTCCTTCCTTCCTTCTCAAAACTATCTTGCATTCATTTTGCATCTATTCTGCATATGCTTATACACACACACACACATACATACATACATACATACATACATACATACATACATACATACATGTATATACATTTTCTTTCCCCCAGTGGAACGTAAGCTCCTTGAGGGAAGAGACAGGCTTAATAAACACTTGGTTGAATTTGGCCACTCAGCCAGTTCTGAGTCCACCAAATTATGCTATAGTCTATACCCTATATCTCTCCATTTTTCCACAAGGATAATGAGGTACTTTATCAACAACTTTGCTGAAATCTAAGTAAACTGTATCTATAACCTTTCCCTCACATTCCAGTTCTGTAACTCTTTCCAAAGACAGGTAGACTGCTATCCCTTAATCTTGATGAAATGATGCTAATTTTTTTGTGGTAACCAATTCCTCTTGTACATGTAACTTAATCAGTTCCTTAATAATTATTTCAAAATAATATGAAAAATACTCCAAATGAGTAGCAATGAGAAACTAAATGCAAACAACAAAGGATAACCTGATGCCCTTCAAATCGGCAAAGACAGAAAGTCAATGCTGGAGGAGCTATGGGAAGATAGGTTCAATAACATACTCTTAGTGGAGCTGCAAATAGGTCTAACTTTGTGGAAAACAGCATGTAGTTACATGAGAAGATTTGCTGTTGAAAAATTGTTTAAAGACCTTAATTAATGAATTAAAAAAAGAATTAAATGCAGTGATACATGCTGAAGAAAGAAGAATCAGAACATACACACTCACATGGGACACACACATGGACATACACACTGGACACACAAACACACTAGACACAGACACACTGGACACATGCATCGACATACACACTGGACACACATAAACACACTAGGCATATGCATTGGACACATACAGATGGGCACACATGCATGACCATAAAAAGCAATAGCAACATGATCCTGAAAGAAGGCACACCCAAGGGAGATATAAGAAGGGGATTCAGAAATGAACATTGTGGTTCTTACATTATTCAAGTTAATGAGCTCATTCAAGAGCCAGCAGCAGCACAGCTCCTGTAAAAGATCAAAGCAACATGTCACCATCCCATGGAGCTAACCCTGCTGCTACTCCTCCCTATGTGACCTTGGGCAAGTTGCTTGGTTCTCTGGGCCTCAGTTTCCTCATCAGTAAAACAGGAAGATTGGATTAGATGACTGCTAGGTCCTCCAAGTCAATGAACCTCTGATTGATCCCCTCTTTCTCAGAGAATGGAGGGACTTGGGCAAAGAAAGAGGGCAGCAATGGTGTGGTCTGAACTATGAGAAGACTCTGGAAGGCCCTGCTGAACTAGATAGCTTCAGCTCTTCATTGCTGGCCTGAGACACTGAGCATACCTTCCTATTCACCATTGAAGAAATGCTTCTCCTGCTAGAGTGCATTATAAAGTAAAGACTTCCTATAGAATATAAGCTCCCTGAGGGCAGGAAATGTTTTGTTTTGTCTCACAATGCCTTGCACATTTTTGGGGAGGTTTTGTTGGTGGTATAGCCTACACCCATGATTTCACAGGTGTAAAGAACTTCTGGCTGGAAGCACTCTCCATCAATGAAGACCACAATTCAGCTGCACCTTGGAATCAGAGAGAGCTACCAAGGGCCCTTCAAGATTAAGGGATTCTCTCAGCATCATACAGCCAGAGTATGACCAGAAGCCGGGTCTTCAGCTCCTACACTGGCCCTCTATTCATGGTGTCATGTTGCTTTGCTGCCTTACACAGAGAAGGCTTATTAATTAAAAAAAAAAAGTTGAGTATCTGAAAGACCTTTTCCCTGGAACAGGGGGCCTACGTGTCCTATTTCCTGGCCACAAAGAGATTAGTAATCTAGACTCTGCAGGCTGAGTAATAACTGGTAGACACTGTAAACACTCATTTACTAGAGGGAGGAAGTGAGACCCTCCAGGGGGCAGAGGCTGGGTCGTGGCCTTGGAGGTGGAGGGGCTATGATTGCTATCCAGGCTGACCAGATTCCTATTACTAGAAGCCTTGAAGTTGACTATGGATGATCACTTATCCCAAGTGACCTACAGGTGTTCTCAGCCTGGTCTGATCTGGACTGGGGTATCTCTGAGGTACTTTTGTCCTCGTGAAGCTCCTAGGACCATCGAATTAGAATTGTAAGACACCATATAATCCAAATCTCTCACTTCTCAGCTGAGAAACCTGAAGTCCTGGCAGTGGGCTAAATGATCACCTTTTAAATTCAAGTTCTCTGACATAAAATGAACTGTTTCATTCTGCTTAGAGGGAGAGCTAAACACTGGGATGAAAATACAAGAAAGCACAATAGTTCTTTCCCTCAAGGGACTTATGGTCTAATGGGAGAAGACAACAGGAGCTAAGGTGGGGCGAGGTACACACCCAATGGCATAGTACTATGTGTGCTAAGAAGTGGGCCTGGGCCCTGGCAAGTGAAGGCAACAGCTCACCTCTCACTGTTCTATCACATGATCCAGAATCTGTTACACCCTGAGGCCTAGCTAGTACTTGAAAGATATCTGGCTTGGATCTCTCTGAAGTCAGGACACTAAGAACTAGCCCCTATCCCATATGCCGGGTTTCCCTCTCCTCCCAGGTCCATCTGAGGGATTGTCCCTGGTTGAGCACAAATGTGTTTGGTTGTTTCAGGAATCAGTGACCTTCAAGGATATGGTCATGGACTTCTCCTGGGAAGAGTGGGGACATTTGAGCTCTACCCAGAAGAAGCTTTACTGGGAGGTGATATCTTAGAATGATAAGAAGCATCTACCTAAAACCATCAGCAAGCTCTGTGATTCTGTGATTCCGCCTGAGAATGGGGAGAGCCTGGATTTTTGAGTTCATCAAAGGCACAAGATGGATCCAGGCCATGAGCCCTGTAGACTCAGCCCAGCTGCCCTCTCTGAAAGTTTTTTATGTTGTCTGTTCACATCAGTTTCTACTTGAAGCAACACCTGCCAGCTCCAAAAGTCTGCAGCCTCCTGGGTCACACAGAGATACACAGGTCCCTCCGTGAGGATTCTTGTCCAGTTATCTCTGTGGGTAACAGGGACAGAGATTCCAAAACATGTTTTTACATTTGTGTTATTGCCTTGGACACAGGAACACAGCTGGGGATGCCTGAGGCAGGAATGATCCCCAGAACTCCTCATGGACCTGCATGTCTCTATGGACACCACTGTCAGTGACTAACCAGAAGATCACTGACAGACAGAATATAGTTGAGGGGCCAAGGAAGCCTTATAATCACCCCCTCAGTCTTACATCATTGTCCTTGTCCTGGACATGGACACAGATAATGTCCTTTTGTGTTTCCTCAGGTGTGGAGGGAGGACTTGACCTGGCCATCTGCCCCAGCACAAGACATTACATCTCCAGTAGTTTTCTCAGCAGAACAAGCCTAGAGTGTTTGACTTTGCTGTAGTTTGGGCAGCACCTTGGCTCCTTCCTGACTTGGCACTTTATCTAATGTTCAGTAATATGTGTCTTCCTGTTCAGAGAAATATTTCTCTGTTGTTTTCTGTCCTGCTACTGTCACTGCTGCTGAAGCTTGCAGCCACTGAGAACAGGACAGAGAAGCCCTACTGCTTCCCCGAAATCAGCCCCAGCCTTGTCAGAAATGGGGATCTCGTGATTGGGACGTTTCTCTCCATGTATTCAGTTGAAGTGAGCTGTGTCACAGGAGCAGAACTCTTTGGAAGTAAACTTGACAAGGACTGTTGGAATTATAAGTAAGTGCCTGCCTGCCTGTGCCTCTGAGAGGGCTAATGGTTACAGAGGTCTTTATGGAAGGGACAGGCAGGAAGTTGGGCCCTTGCCTGCTGATTCTGGGGTCTCTTCTACCCTCTCTTCTGTGCCTCATGCTCAGTTTCCATCCTTCTGATTTTCTTTTAGAGCTAAGGAGTGAAAGGATTCTCTCTGTCTGTCTCCCTGTGTGTCTTCTGTCTCTTCCCATCACTGTGTCTATACATATATCTCTGTGTTTCTGTCTTTTCTCTCCCCAATCTAGAGGCAGCAGAGACATCTGGAGCTCTTTCTTGGCTCTGCTCATATTGTCAACAACTCCAGTAAATATAAGAGTCCAGTATCTAGCAATGAAATGTCAAGTATAAACAATGAATATCTTTACTATAGAAACTGAATTTAGGCCTAAAGACACATTCTCTCTCTCTCTCTCTCTCTCTCTCTCTCTCTCTCTCTCTCTCTCTCTCTCTCTCTCTCTCTCTCTCTCTCCTTCCACTGATATCCCTGTCCCGTTTCATTGTGAAACCCCTGCAAGCCATAGGCCTCACAAGGGATTTGCAGGTATGTTTTTGGGAGATGAAGAATGGGACATAGAAGATGACAATTTTGACCTCTTGCATATGTCTCAGTGTCTGTGCATCTCTATTGCTTTTGAATTCTTTCTACATTTTACATTCCCTCTGTACCTTTCTTTTCCATCTTCCATATTTTTATCTCCATTGATCTAAAATAAGGACATATTTTAATGTTTGCTCACATTTCTTGAGTATTTTAAGATATTTCCATTTTTTTCTATTCTGTAATTGTTCACCACCTAGGCCGAGTTGACAAGAGGCAGATAAACATGCTCTCACCTTATGTGTAGCATTGGGCAAAAAGGCCATTGTGAACCAAATTTCCTTTTTCATTTCTATGTAGCCTTTGCCAGACTTTTCCTTGAGAACAGTGTTTGTTCATGTGGACAGGAGAATTGGGTTCTTTTCTCCTTTATTCTAATTGTAGCAAGTGTGAATGAAGAAAGAATGGACAAAAGGTTTCAAATTTTCAGAAAACAGACAGTTAATAGAGGGTAAATTAATGTTAATGTTAATGATAGAGTGAATGAGAAGGCCTGAAGAATCTCTTGTATCTGCCTAGAATCTTCTGGGATACAGCTCTAAATTGCCTTAGGGATGAGAGCTGCTGGAGAAACATCTCTAGATTTTAAACATTTTGTTATTAATACACTCAAAATGACATTGAGTCCATAGGTTTGACCCTCGCATGGCTGGAACATCTCCTTTCCTTAAGTGAATTCTTTTTACAATCCTTGTAATGGTTTCTGACTCTGTCCCCTTTAGGTGGCTATACAAAAATTACCAACAAGCCCTTGCCCTAATGTTTGCTGTAGAGGAGATCAACAAGGACTCTAACCTGTTGCCCAACCTTACCCTGGGATTCCACCTCTACAACACCTACCACAGTGATGAGAGGACCTTGGACAGCTCCCTGCGGTGGCTGTCTGGGCAGGGCCAGCTCACCCCTAACTACAGCTGCTGGGAGCAGGACAAGTCTGTGGCTGTTATGGGAGGAGCCACATCAACTCTGTCTGTCCAGATGGGGACCCTGCTCGACCTCTGCAAATATCCTCAGGTGAGTAATGTTGACCCTGTTGCCTTCTGAAGCTTCATAAGACCCTTGAGAGGCAGTGGAGTCAGGAGGCCCAAGTCAAAAAAGCTACCTCTGCTATATACTGGCAATGCCACCCTGGTCAAGTCCTTTAACCTCTCAGTACTCTAAGTACTAAGAGACCATACATTTCAGAAAAGATGATAATCTGCATTGGTAGAAGTTGTATCTTGCCTAGAAATTCCTAGACCAATGACATCATCAATATAATTTTGGAAACTTAAGCATGGAAAATATTGGACCTGCCCTTGAGCACTGCACCCCTTTCATTATCAAAGACATAGTCAGTGTCACCTAACTTCGATGAATGAAGGAGTCCTAGAGATTTTGCAGGCCTAATTTTCCATTAACCAGAGAAAGTCTCTGAGCACAGAGGGATGAAACAGCTTCCCCAAAGTCTCATAATTGATAGGAAAGCTGGGACTATAACCCATATATTTTTAATAGTAGTTCATTGCTCTAAGCATTGCATTACATTATCTGTGTTTCCTCCTCATGTGATATATTGTCTCTGAATATTACTATCATTTTTCTTTTCCCAAATAATACTTTTTTACAGTAAAAGGAATAGTGAGCATTGGTGTGGAAATGATGGTGGGCAGCAATGATGAGAGTGTTGTTTAATTGTTGGAGAGGGGAAAGGAAGGGTGCCTTAATGAGATGGCTTACTCACTAAAAAACAGAAGAGCTTGCTGTATAGATTTCCACTCTCCTTCACACTATTAAATGCATGACAATATAAAAGACTGAAGTCATAGAGGTGATTATTCTTCCTGAAGTCTACTTCTGCTTTCACTGTATCAATCACTGTACTATTTCCTCTAGGCTACTGTGAAAGAAGGTGATTCACCCTTAACTCTCACAGCAAAATTAAAGTTTTTTTCTGTTCATACTCAAATGCTTCCCTGGCTCAGAGAAAAGCACTTCCTTATAGATAGGGAGAGAGATGAAAGAAACATTTTTATTTCTACATTGAATGCTTGATGGATATTAAAGAAAACTGAAGAACTGTTATTGTTAAATTAAAAAAAATTAATGCCAACTTAATGAAGGATAGTGTAGGGAACTTTCACTAGTACACACGCATCACACTGGAGTTATTGAAGTGCATGCAGCCCTGACACAGTCTAAAATGGATTACTTTCCAAAACTTTGTCATCATCCTCTGCAACCATAGTTGGCCACTGCCAACTATTAAAGTTCTTATGGCTTTCAAAGTTGATTTTATTTATGATGTTGGTTTTATATGAATTTTTCCCCTGGCTCTGTTTCTGTTTTTAAAAGTCTCTTTGGGATACAGACCAGTAGTGGTATTGCTGGATCAAACATGTATAGTTTTGTAGCCCTTTGAGCATAGTTCTAAATTGCTTTCCAGAATGGTTAGATTAGTTCACAACTACACCAACAATCCATATCCCTTCCGGCATTTATTATTTTCACTTTTTTTCCTCTTCTTAGCCAATCTGATAGGTGTGAGGTACTACGTCAAAGTTTGGTTTTAATTTGCATTTCTCTAATCAATAGTAATTTAGAGCATTTTTCATGTCTATAAATAGCTTCAATTTCTTTCTCGGAAAACTGCCTGTTCTGAGCTTTTGATCATTTATCAATAGAGAAATGATTTGTATTCTTATAAATTTGATTCATTTTTCTATATATTTGAGCAATGAGACCTTTATCAGAGATACTTACTGTAAAATTTTTCCCAGTTTCCTGCTTTCCTGCAAACAGCAATCACATTGTCATGAGTCAGTCATTCAGTCCTTTTTGGAGACATATCAGCTTACTGACTAGATTAGTTTTGATTGCAAAGGCTATGTTAGATTGATGGCACTCCCTATCACTGAGGCTAGTCCAGAAAAATGTGTATCCAGCCCTAACTTCTGCAAGCTGGCCTTCATTTGCCAGTCTTATTTCACTCTGGGCTGCTAGTTGGATATGATACCTACTGAGTTCTCTCTCAGCAAGAGCTGTTTATCTTTCATGTCTACTGGATTTCTTGTTGTCCATAAGCATGCACACATTCCATGTGAGTAGAATAATCTTCACAAATGTTTTTGCACATTTTTTTTTCTGTTTAGCCCAGAGGATGAAATCCCTGCCTGCTGTGGTAATCAGGCCAGAATTAGGTTAGGTGAAGCAGACAAATTTCAGGTCACCTTTTTAGACCCTACCTCACACAATAAGTTGAACAGCACAGTCCTTAAAAATAACTGCTCAGACATCCAGGAGACTGCTGAATCTCATTGCTGCTTCAGTCCAGTGAGATGACCACCCTATGCCCTGGGCTGCCTCTGTGCATGATTGTGACTATAGCTCCCACTGTATCTGCAACTGCTGCTTCATCACTCACCTGTTAGCACAGGACTTGGAGGTAGGTAAAAATGCTAAAAATGGTATGGTTACATCTTTTGACTTGTGCTTAAATTGGATATATGTGAGACAGAGTTGTTTGAAGTTGTCGGACTCACTTTTTCTTCCAGTCATCAGACAAGACAAAAATCAAAATGACTGGTGATGTCTGAGGATTCAGTGATTAACCTTGGTGTAAGCTCTAAGCACACCTCATAGCCTGCTTCCACCTCCTGCATGGCCTGTTGCAACAAATTGTTGTCATCCACCCATTACACCAGGGGAAATCTCCACATATTTAGGCTAAACATCCATGTAACTTACTGAAGGATTTGAGACAACCTCAGTTACTCTCAACCTGCTTTAACTTATCTGCAGAAATGGTTTATTGGGGTACATCCACTGTGCATGCTGCAGCTTCTTGGAGCCAAAGGTGAGAGTTGAGTGAATCAGGTGAACACTAAAGGTGGAAAGCAGCCTGGAAAAGAGCTCAGCAGCCCTCATACCTGAGGTACTAGGCTTCCCTGAATACACCCTATGCCCTTTCCTTTAAATATTGCTTTGGCTACATCCTATAGATTTTTAGCATGTTATCTCATTGTTGTCATTCTCTTGAATGAAATTAGTGATTGTTTCTATGATTTGTTCTTTGGCCTTATTATTTTTGAGGATTGGGTTGTTTAGTTTCCAATTAATTTTTACATATCTTTTCACTGTCCTTTATTAAATGCAATTTTTATTGTGTTACCATCTGAAAAGGATCTACTTACTGTTTCTAAAACCATTTGGTTGTGAGGTTTTTATGCTTTAATACTTGGTCAATTTTTGTGCAGATGCCAGGTGCCATTGTGAAAAAGAAAAGTTATACTTTTCTATCCCCATTCAAGTTTCTCCAGAGGTCTGTCATATCTAACTTTTCTCAAATTATGTTCACCTCTTTAAATTCTTTCTTGTCTATTTTGTGTTTAGATTCATCTAGTTCTGAGAGGGGAATGTTGATGTCTCCTACTAATATAGTTTTATTGTCTATTTCCTCCTGTAATTCCCTTCACTTCTTTAAGAATTTGCATGCTATACCGCTTGGTGCATATGTTCAGTATTGATATTATTTCATTGTCTATGGTACCTTTTAGCAAACTGTAGTTTTCCTTATCCCTTTTAATTACTTATGTTTGCTTTTGCTTTGTTTGAGATCAGGATTGCTAATTCTGCTGTTTTTACTTCAGCTGAAGCATAATAGATCTTGCTGCAGCACATTACCTTTACTCTATGTGTGACTCTGCATCTGAGGGTGTTTCCTGTAAACACCGGATTGCAGGATTCTGTTTTTTTAATCCACTCTGCTATCTGCTTTTTTTTTGTGGGGGAGGGGGAGTTCATCCCATTCACATACACAGTTATGATTACTGTGTATTTCCCTCCTTCCTATTTTTCCTCCTGTTTATCCTTCTCTCTCTTTTCACCCTTTCCCTCGCTATCACTGTTTTGCTTCTGACCACTGCCTCATTCAATCTGCCCTCCCTTCTGTCAGTTTTCTCTGCCTTTACTTAACTCAATTCCCTCCTACTTCACTGTAGAGTAAGATAGATTTCTTTCTACAGCTGATTATGTTATTCCCTCTTTGAACCAATTCTGATGAAAGTAAGGTTCAAGTGATTCCCATCCCTCCTTCCTGTCATCCCCTCCACTGTAATAGATCTTTCACACTTCATGTGAAATACTTTACCCCATTCTATCTCCTCCTTTCCTCTTCTTCTAGTACAATCTTCTTTCTCACCCCTTAATTTTTTTGTGTCATCCCATCATAGTAATCTCACACCCCACACTCTGTCTATGTATACTCCTTCTAATTGTCCCTATAGTGATAAAGTTCTTAAGAGTTACAAATATCATCATCAGGAATATAAACAGTTTAACCTTATTAAATCTCTTATGTTTTCTATTTCTTGTTTCTTTTTTTTTAACCTCCTTATGTTTCTCTTGAGTCATGTAATTGAAAAATCGATGATTTTTTTAAAATGTGCAGCTCTGGTCTTTTAATTAGGAATACCTGAAACCTGCTATTTTGTTAAATGGCCCTTTCTTTTTCTCCTGAAGGATTAAAATCAGTTTTCTCCTGAAGGATTAAAATTCTTGGTTGTAATCCTAACTTCTTAGCCTTTTGGAATATCTTATCCCAAGCCTTCTTATTCTACAATGTAGAAGTTTCTAAATCCTGTGCAATCCTGACTGTGGCTCCATGATACTCCTTTAAATTTTTTTTTAATTTCAAAAATTTTTATTTTTAATTTATGGAATGAAACAAGCATTTCCATAACATGATACAATAAAAAGACAAATGTACATAAAACTACAAATCTCCTATGTACAACTTGTTTTTTCCCTTTCAATTATACAACAAAATTATGTAAATTTCCTTTTTTTCTTCCCCTGCCCCAGAGATAGCTATCAGTAGACCCAAATAGGCACATACATGTATGTATATATGTATATGTACATGTATACATATGCACACACATGTGTACACACACATATATGTGCATGTACACACATGTAATTCTCTACATATTTTTACTTCTCAGTTCTTTCCTTGGATACAGATAGCATCTTTC